AAATAATTTTCCAGCGATGATGACAGCGCATATACCTGACCTTTTTTTTTTTTTTTTTCCCCCTCTCAATTGTGTGTATCCTCAGGACGGGACCAAGTCCTGAATCCAATCAGCCTCCCCTTTCCCAAATCTACACAAACGCACATTCAGTGTTCATCAAGTCTCCAGCGATGCCAAGACGGCCTGATCAACCAGTTGCCCACTCTGAACAACCCGGCTTTTTTTTTTTTTTTTCCCCCTCTCAATTGTGTGTATCCTCAGGACGGGACCAAGTCCTGAATCCAATCAGCCTCCCCTTTCCCAAATCTACACAAACGCACATTCAGTGTTCATCAAGTCTCCAGCGATGCCAAGACGGCCTGATCAACCAGTTGCCCACTCTGAACAACCCGGCCTCTTCGCCCCAGACCCTTGAAGGCCGTACCCGCTCAAGAAGTGCCCCTCTCCCTCGTCAACCTGGGAACCCGAGAAAAACAGTTCTCCAGCCAACCCGGGGAGGCCCTCAATCCCATCCACGAGTTGCAGCCGCGCGCTGCCCTCACAGGTAAGCTTCAAGAAAATGTCACCTTGAAGACAAGGAGTTTGCGAACTGGGCTTCCACTGTATAATATGAGGCAAATTAATACAAATCCAAAAAATGTTGTGCTGTTAAGTGACATGCCAGGCTGCTCTTTATAAACTCGGAAATTGATTTGGGGGAAAAAAAAAGTTCAATGAATTTAACATGCTAGGAAGCATCTTTATGTTTTGCCAAGTGAGTCGGGAGTAGAGTGCAACATTCTTTGCTGCTCTGGTAGTTTACAGCTTTGCTTTTTTTTTGCTTTTCTCACATCTAAACCACACCCCAAAAGCTGAGTCATTTTTAGACAAGCGAAGCTTTCATACAGATTTTGAACAGCTCCTGAAGGACAAAACATTGACCGGCAGCTACATGGAACTTAGTCACTTACTGCAACTAGTGGGAAGTGTGGCAAATATTGTATTCTAGTACTCATACCTCCGTAATCATTTTCGTTGGAATCTGCAACTGGTATTGTCGGTTCTGCATTGAGCCGACTCTTCCCATCAAATCTCTTCTTCTCTATTTGAGCCCTTTTGTTCTTTTGTTTACTTGTTCCTCATTCTGTTCTGTCACTCATCTTTGCATGCTCCATCTTCTGTGTTTTTTTTTTTTTTTTTTGTCCTCAGGTGAAGATCTAACCGTTTGACAGTCTTTCCTCTCTCGCCCTCTCTCTTTCCAGGCATGGCTCCCATTCGGGATTCCGTCAGCCATTCCCCTAATCAAACAGGTGACTACACATTCCCTTTCTTCTTAATTCCATTTTCTTTCTTTGATTGCCTCTGCCCGCCAGTTGCCTTCCCTGAGCTTGACTGTGGATGCATTTCTCTCATTGCATGTTAGAGAATGGTCATTCTTAGAAGGAAAGGTGAATTGCGGTTGGAACACATGAAGGGTCGCTGCAAGCATTTGGCACACATCTATACGTGAGACATCTACAGTATGTCAACCTCTGGCCTAAAAGAGATTAACTCTAAGTGTTTCTTTACAGTTGGCGAAGTCTTGACAAAATGCGTGCATGTGTTACTCTCGCAGGTTTGCAGAAGTGAGAGCAGAATTACATTTTAGACATCCTCATTCAAATATTTCGGCTGATTTCTCAATGTTTATGGATGAGATATTCGTTTTTCAAATTGAGTCTATACTAAAATCTGTCACCTGTTGTCCTTGAACATTTTTACCCGAATTACTCTCCCAACTAATTTTCATTTCCTCTTTATTGTTATTGCTCCCGCTTGAGCCTTTTGCTGCGCTTCATTATGTAATTATAGCTGGTGCGTGCTTTTGGTTCTCACCAAAGTGACAGAATAGTGACGGACGAGTCTGTGCTGGCACCTGGCAGTGTTCTCAGGACATTCGCACAGGTGGCTTGTTGGAGGAAATAAAACTGTATTTCTGGTAAATAGGAGGCCATTTACGACCACGCCCACCATACTCCTTGTTGACAATCGGTTGAAGCAATGAGATAATGATTCGGTCATCAAAACGCGTAACACCTCGTGTTGGTCTTTGCTTCCCTCTAGGGCTGGAACACACCGGCTTGGACTCGCAATATGAGCCCTCTCCCTGGTCTTCTGGCTCTCCCTGCAGCGGTGACAGCAACAGCAACTGGGGAAAGGTCCTAGTGGACGGAAGCACAGATCAAGCCAACAACCCCTCCTCAACTAATTCTTCTACCTGGGCCCCGTCGTCATCTTCTTTCTCTTGTTCCTCCTCCTCTTCCTCCTCCGGCTGTGGGTCGGGGTCAGACCCGGAGTTGGCGACAGAATGCATGGATGCCGACTCGAGTCCGTCGACCGGCTCAGAGAATAACTTTGCCGCAATTGCTGTGACAACCGGGATGATGTCAGCAAATGCTTCTTCCGCTGAGTCTTCTTCAACATTCACTCCTTCCTCTGACATGATGGTTGGCATTTCGATGAACGGAGACAGCAATGGCAATAGTCGTCAGGTTCACGGCGCAGGAATTGGAACAATCTGTGGTGCAAAAAATGGAAATAGCAACATGACTGGACACCCTCACTTCTCTGTGGCCGGGTCCAGCGGTATTGGCAGCAATAACACGGGTAACCACAACAAGCTTGTTAATAGCAGCAGTGTTTGGGGGACTCAGTCAGGCAACGGCATGATGGCTTCCGGCGAAAGCACCGCTTGCTCCATTGGAGGATTGACTCCAAATACCACGACCCCAAATGCCAACCATGGTGCCTGGCCCCCAAATGCAGCCCTGAACCCAATGTCCCAGAGCCAACGGCCTCTACAGCCTCAGGGGATGAATTCAAAATTGGGCGCAGCGCCCCAACAGGGCCCCTTGATGGGATGGGGTGGCATGGCAGCTCCCGACAAAAGCAATGTGATGGAAGACATGGAGGTGAATAATGGTACATCAAGCAGCAACGTGTTAGGAAGCGGCACCAGTGGTAACGGTGGCCTGCAGCCCGCCAACCTTAACACTGAATCCAACGGACCAAATAACACTATGACGATGAATACTACTACTTCTACTATTACTACTACTACTAACACAACAATGACCTCTATTCCGCCAAACTCTATGGCCTCGCCTCAACTGAGCGGGGAATGTTCCTGGGGCTCAATTGGAGGAGCAGGGAGTGGTGGTCTGCTAGCCAACGGAAACCCTTCGTCGACCCCACAGCACCCCCACGTAGAGACGGGGGGTCCAGGAACCTTTGGTACGCCTTGGGATGCATCTGCCTACTCTGGAGATAAGGGTCCCCCAAATCCTGACACTGTGAACCCACCAAGCCCCGCCTTAATGCAGGCTGGGAATTCCCAAATGTCCTCTACTGCTGCTGTTAAGAGTAATAATAACCACCACAACGCTGGGGGTACACGCTGGGATCAGGGGCCTGTTAGTAACCCAAATGCGAGTCAGAGCAACAACCCCTGGGGTGTCAGTACAAATCAAACCCTCGACTCTACAGGACAAATGCCAGGGACTGTGAACCAAACTACGATGAGCTCTTCTTTCGGGATACCTCGCCCTTGGGGAAGCAGCACATCCTCCTCCTCCTCCACCTCCTCCTCCTCCTCCGCATCTAACAAGCTGTCAAATGGAGAATGGGGAACACCCCATGGGAACAACCATTCAGCTGCTGAAAGTCATAAAGGAAGTGCTGCTAACAATGGCTGGAAGAGCCTGGAGGACGATGCCATGGGCATGGGAGGTGGAGGCACCGGTAGCGCAAGCCTGACAGGTGTCTCGGGAGGCTGGGGCCGCTCAGGAGGAAGCGAGGGAAGTGCCGAGAGCTCCGGAGGCCAGTCCAGCTCCGACCGAGAGAATGTCCTGTCAAAAAGTGGGAATCGAAGAAAAGTCAACAATCCGTCACCAGTCATATCATTTCAGAGTCGAACTGATGTAGACCCAAGGGTTCTATCGAATACAGGATGGGGACAAACACCCATACGGCAGAATACCGCCTGGGATGTTACTTCCACCAACAAGCAGCAACTGGCTTTCAGAGGAGATGAAAGAAAGCAACGCTCTGGCTGGGGAACAGCCTCACCCACACAGACAGCTCCACCCCACGCCTCTGGAGGTCCAGGTATGCGTGAAAGTGTGGATAAGAACATGTGTGGCATGTCGGGGGGGGGGGTATTATGGGTGAAGGCAGCACCAAAGAATTACACACATTACATACAATTGAATTATTTCCGTTTTATATCATCAGGTTGGGGTGATGGCCCAAGTTGTGGGGGCCCAGATGCAGGAAGCTCAGGTTGGGGTGAGCCAAGATCAACCTCTGGGTGGGATAACAAAGGCCCAGCAAGTGGAAGCAGCTGGGACAATGGATCCAGTTACAAAGGGGGCAACAACATCAGCAAAGATGACCGGTGAGTGACAATGAACTGTTTGAAATGATATGAACAGAAATTGTTGCAGTGTTTTTACATCTTGACTGCCTACTACAAGGGAATACTGGTTTTATCTCTTGTACATGGTCAAATATTCGTCCCAACACCTTCATTCACCCCTTACAGATCCAATACATGGACAAATGTGCCCAAACAGCAGCAGGGCTGGGGTTCCAGCAGTGGCAATGAGGATGAAGGCTGGGGTACCGCTGGAGACGGTTCCAGAGCGGTGTCCAACAACCACTGGGGAGATCCCCACAAAGGTGCCGGGTCAGTGGGATGGGACAGCGACAGCGACCGATCGGGGTCTGGATGCTGGAGTGAGCCAGGGCGAACCAATACTAGCGGCAGTAACACCTGGGGAGGAAGTGGTGGGTCCAACACCCCTGACCAAAGTACTCAAAACCAAGGCTCCAACTGGGGGGACTCCAAACCCAACCTTCAGAATAAGAACCAGGGATGGGGGGAGCCAGTGAAAAACAACCAGGGTTCCCAAAACTGGGGCGACTCCAACTCTAAAAACTCCTATACTTCCAACGAGTGGGGAAAAGGTCCCGACTCAAACATGTCAAAGACCAACAACAAGCCGACAGGTAAATGAATAGGTTCATGTTTAGCTATGATATGTACTTTTAATTTCGGCACAAACTAGAGCCCACTCCGGTGGGTGACGTGACTGCACAATGGTGATAACATCCGATGGTTCAATGCCTTGCTCAAGGCCATCTTAGCACTAGTCACCCATTTGCAGTGTGTTTTTGAAGCTTTCATGAAGTGCAAGGACTTGAGTGATGGTTTGGGTTGATTCTGTCATCAGGCTGGTTGGGAGGTCCCATGCCCACAGTGGGTCAAAAGAACGAAGCTTCAACTGGGTGGGAGGAGCCTTCTCCAGAATCCGTTCGCCGACGGATGGAGATTGATGATGGAACCGCAGCTTGGGGAGATCCTGGTATGGGCAGCTGAATTAAAGTTTGATTTGAGGGAATTGTGCTGTTGATTGTCATTGTAAGATGAAAAACTGGCAGGAGATTCACTTTCAGCTCTCATTTTGATCTCCTTTCCCGCAATAGTGAAATACCATGGCGGGGCTGTCAACATGTGGAACAGAACCGGTCAGTCAGACCAGGACAGTATGGGCCCACCTTCTCAACACCAGTCGCACCCATCGCATAGCTCGACACATCATTCTCAGCCCATGCAGCCTCATGGACAAGACAAAGGTGGAAGTTCAGGTAATTTCAATGAATGAAGAATACCTTGACTTAAATCCGCTAAAATCTGAGATTTGATCTTCCCGACAGTTTTAGGTAATAGTTTTTGTCCTTTTGGAGAACTTGTGTTGTCAGGATGTGTCTCATGTACTATAGATGCTAACATTAGTCTTCAAACTTGGGTCATCATTCGTTTCATCTGAACCATGGAACTCAATTCCATCATTCCAAGTGTTCGCGGTGGTAGCTCTTAGATAGTTTGTTTAGAATACAAGTATAGACAACGCTGAAATACAAAAGTGGGGAGGGAAAAGCTTGCTGTAAAATGAAGCTAATACGGACATGTTAGCACAAGCCTCGTCTGTAAGCCTGTCGTGATAGAAAGGTATGTCTCCATTTTAATAATTCACTTGCAAATTTCTTCCTGTTACAATAAGATGTACGTACAAAACACTCAAATCTATAGAAAACAATTGAGAGTTGGTTGGGAAGCCTGGACGCAGCAAATATACATACAGCCATTGTCCTTGCGGCACATTTTTTTTGTGAATGTGGCTGAGTCATCCCTTAGGAATGCTAAGAGCATCGTTCAATGCTCCAAACCCAGCCCCCCCCCCCCACCACCCTTTTATTAGCCTCTCTTACGGATTTCTCTCTCACTTGCCAATTGCGCCTGCAATAGAAACCCAGGCTTTTGTTGGGGTTTAGAGACACGCAGTTGACGAGGTTGGCTTATGTGCAAATGGGAACGGTCTGTGTGAAAGAGCTGGGGAAAGTAAAGGGGAGGGGCTGTCAGGCCTATACAGGGACTCTGTCGAGTGAGCTAACTGGAGCAGCAGAAAGGGGATCGTGAGGAAGTTTGGGGCCGACTAGGCAACTACTATAAGAAGGAAACGTTCATAGATTTTATGAGCCCAAAAGTTTGAAATGGAGTTGTAAATTTGGGGGTGTTTTTGCCTTTTGCGTGCATTGCGGTGGTTGCCAATATCCTCGAGATGGTTATCTATCTTTGCATGCATTTCAAGAAGCCTTGCGCGAGTCCTTTTGTGCTAGCTTGTGTGCTTGCCTCGTTACATGTGGGACACTGGAGCCTCGGGCCACCCTGCGATCTGGCCTATTTTTACTGAGAGGTATCCTTGGCATCTCCCCAAACTCATCCAGTGGTGGAAGACGCAACCAGGGCTTGTGGGTCAACTGTAACACAAACCCTCATAAATGTAAACCATTAGCCTCACATTTGACAGCGGGACTTGGATGCAGTCAGCTGCGGGTCAGCAGGAATATGCTGGTGCTTGTTTTTGCGGGCTCAATGGCTTACGAAATGTTCTGGATTTTGTATGATGACCATGATGCTTTCTATTAGGTTGGGGTGAGCCTTATCCCCAGCAGAAAGAGTCCTCAACATGGGGTGATGCCACCTCTGCTCCGCCGGTGACGGTGGACAACGGAACATCTGCCTGGGGGAAGCCAGTGGACACTCGCTCGAGCTGGAATGAACCCACCCGAGATAATAGAGAGCCTGCATCTGGTTGGGGAGGTCGTCACAAATCAGGTTAGCGTAATAGCAAGCTCTCTGCAAATTGTTTCTGTATCTTCATTGAAAGTGCTTCCATTTAAAACAATTCACGAGTTGGCTCGTCACGGTTTTCCCCTTCCCTTCCCACATTCGCCTCTTGTTAGGTCTTGGTTCCAAACCAATGGACACCTGGCGCGGTGATGACTCAATGGGCAACAGTTGGGACCAGGAAGAGGAAGTCGAGATTGGCATGTGGACTAACAACCAACAGGACAACAGATCACATGAGCCAAACACCTGGAACTACAAGCAAAAGGGATCCTGCAAGGTTTGTTTCGACCGAGACACCAGGAAAGCAGTTTAAAATGTGCAAAGTTGTGACTCATTCGAGTTGCCGGAATGAATTCATGAACTGTTGTTTGTTATTGTTAGATGAATAAACCAGTCAACAAACCAGACGAGCCGTGGATGAAAACGTTCATGAACCAGTTTAGCAACATGAACTTTTCTGTAAGTATTTGACCACGGGTGTTGCCAGTGCGGTTCTTTGTCATGTCATGGGTTACGTACAAACAAAAACACTTACTTAATGATGTGCAAAGATTTGCCGTCATGAAAGTGCAACCTCATGCCAAACACTCGACTTTTTGTTTTGCACTTCAAGCTGTTGCAAAAGTGATGCCGACTTGTGTTTCCTAATAAGGATCAACAAGCACCAGAAAGAGCCTCACCCCTACAAAGGCCGACATAACCACACATAATGATGGTCCGATTTCCACGTGCCAGCAATTGCCTTTGTATGAGCCTCCAAAGTGCAGTCAGGGCAACCGGTGCCAAATTATGCCAAGTATATCATTAGTTGATGCCCACCAGTGACACAAAGTATTTTTTGTGGTGGTACTTGGTGTAAATTTTTTTTTTTTTAAAAACAATGGTATTTGTTATCGAGCTGGCACCCAATGTGCTTTTTCTTGAATCACTCAAATAAATTCCCTTTTTCTTGTGAATTCTCCCTTTGATAGCGAGACTCTCCTGACGATACCTTGAAAACCGTCGCAGGCATGGTGCAAGACAAGCGTATAGACACAATGGATTTTAGTGGAGTCATGGGGAAGAATCCTGGATCTCAACACCAGCTCCCCAAAGACTCTTCCATGGATCGCAGCTCTTACTATGACAAGGTAATCCCGGAATCCCTCCACCGTTAAAACATGAGTATGAAATTCCCTCCCCGGGACACAAACAATTCAAACTATGTGTATTGTAATATACGTTGCCGTATTGTACATTAACTACTGATAAAGAATAGAGCAGACATCAATTTTCTAGAATAGGCATCTACCCAAGAAAATATCTGTTGAATAACTTATAAATAACTTGGGATCACTACCGGCAGCCCAATAAAGTAGCACCAAGCACTTAACAGGGTAATAGTGCGCCGTGTTTCATGATGAAAACACACACCTAAGTTTCTGGAATTGTGGTAAAGATGAGGCGCAAAACTTGCAGGACACATTTCCTGATTCCAGCAATCTGCCGTACATGAGTATGCTCGTTCTCTGACTGTCGTGCTGCGCCCCACGGTGGCCATTTCAAGACATTACACTTTACTCATGCTTGAAATTTCATTTCATGTACTTTCTATTTGCATTGTTTGCACTTGCAATGAGAACAGCTTGCGGAGATCATTTATCAATCATTAATGAAAGCAATAAATGTCTGATGATTATAGTTGATAACAGACCTCAGTTGACGGCATGGTTAATGTGCCTGCCAGTTTTTTTTTTTTTTTTTTGTCTTGGCTTCGCTGCTCTTCATTTGCTCTTTCACCCTTTCCCTAAAGATATATCCCTCTTTGTTACACTGGCACCAACTCACACTTCCTTTTGCTCTTTGCCCTCAAATTAACCCCACTCTTGTCTGTCTGTGTGTGGCTGGCACTGTGCTTGCGATCCATCTGCTGTGCACCCGGCCTTGCTTCCGCAGCTGTCCATTCCCCCCTCTGCTTCAGATGAGCACTGCTCCGGTCAAAGCATGAGCTTGCCCCCTCTCACTTCCACTCAGCCTATCCTATGTCACGACTCTGGGCCGTCTGCTGCCCACTCTAGTCCTGGCGTCTCTCGGCAGGTGAGTGCGCAAGCGTCACAAGGTTGTTGTATCTCCGCTTTCTAACCGAAGCTCTCCTGATAACAAGAGGTTATTTTCATATATGAGTTGGGCTTCATGATTAATGCTCAGTTATTTGTTAGTTATCAAAATATCATTGAAAGTGCTTGTTTGACGATGAAGATAACGTGCATTTGTTTTCTTTGTTTTGTCTCTTTCCCTAGAATGTAAACCCAATGATGGGTGGCAGCAGCTTAGCACAGGGCCGCGGTGGTCTTCAATCTCAACTCCCTCATCACAACTTCCGTAACCAAGTGCCTCCTCCCATCATGCCCTCTCAGGTAGCGTGCCCACCTCCAAACCTAATTAACGGTGATTTCTTTACACCAGAGGTGTCTTAAATCCGGTCCCCGAGGGCTGCTCGAATGCATCTTTTAGATGTTGCCCTCCTTCGATACATCTGATTCAAATGATCAGCTCATCAGCAAGCTCTGTCGAAGCCTGATAAGCAAAGCATAGACTATGCCTGTTACGGAAATGCACGAGTAAAGTAAATAAATGGGGCGATCATTGCTGACAGCCTATCCACGCTTTCCCTTTTGCAGTCCCGCTCATGTCCCGTCTTTGTATCATTAGAATGTAGCTACAGCGGCCCGGGCAAACCGCTTTTCCCTTGACAATCAAGCCATGTTGTTTGTGGTCATAAATTGTAAAGTCGCCTCAAAATGTTTGAGAGCCAGTCACCGACTTCAGCTCCCCCCCCGCCCCCCAAAAGAAAAACATGGATAGGTTCATAGAAACTTTTCTCTCCTTGTTTTTCAGGTCCCTCCACCCTTGTTAAAATACCCAGGTGGGAATGGAGCCCTGAATCCACTCTTAGGCCCTCAGCAGGTGGCTATGCTTAACCAGCTCTCCCAACTCAACCAGCTGACCCAGCTCCAGGTAAAGTGCCACAAACAGTCAAATGAACAACCACGATCGAACATTTTATTTGCTACATGCTCTATTCAAAGCTATCCCACAAACAGACTCACTTCATGAGCTTCAAGTTTACAATTGTTTTCTTTGTCAATTTTCCGTTGGCAGCGTCTTATCCTACTACAGCAACAGCAGCAGCAGCAACAACAGCAACAGAAGGCTCAGAGCCAGCGAGTAATGCCTGTGGGACGACCGCCTGAGCCGGTTTGTTTGCGCATCAATGTATACATCAGAGTCTGCGTCTCTGATTTTGTAACATCGTGCCCTGCTGTCTTTAGACGCGTCCGATTGGTTCATCTCCATCCATGATGCAACCACCGCGTCACCTGGACGCTTCTTTGCTAAAGCAGTCGCCGGCCCTCAAACCGTACCTGGACAGCTACTTGCCCCACAATAGCCCTGAGATGCAGAAGGATGCTTCCACTCTTGGATCCTTCAGCAACTTCCCTTTAAGTATGTTCAACATTAACACGCAGTTTAAAAAAATGTCAAGTAGACAGCTTCCTAGACTGTATGTAGGAATGATCAGTTGTATACTGTGTGAATTGTTTCATGACAGCAGAATCTAAATGTACTTCCCCTGTTCTTTCCGTCAGGCTTGAACTCTAACCTGAATGTATCCCTGGACATGGGCGTTGGTACTAATGCCGGCGGAGCTTTAGGCTACAAAGAACCGGCCCAGTCCAGACTGAAGAAACTGTGGGTTGCTGACCCTCTGGAGCAGAACAGCAAATCTGGTACGCTTGACTTTGCATGTGGCCTTCAACTTCTTTCGTCGGTCATCATGTGAAAATTCCGATGTCATTATTTGACTCCTTGTGGAAGGCTGAGCAAGTTTGCTTTCTCAACATGCCGGCATCGAAAGCAAACTTGGTTTTAAACCATTTTCAGGCTCTTTTTTACGTCATTAACATGTCTCCTGTTTCTGTGTCTGTCCCGCAGGTGCTATTTCGTCAGGACTGCGTCTGGAGGACTCTCCCTTTTATGACTTCCTGTCCCCTGGCCCATCGCCCCTGAGTCCTCCCGGCCAATCAATGGGCTCAGTGGGTGACGGCTGGCCGTCCCGTGCCAATTCCCCCCCGCCCCATGGAAACACTGTCACCTGGCCCCCAGGTACACCAGCGTTCATATTCATTGACCCTCACCATCATTTTTTTGGGGGGCTTGGAAAGCAGCTAATGGCGGTGTCTGTGTGTAGAGTTCCGACCTGGCGAACCTTGGAAAGGTTATCCCCCCAACATTGACCCTGAAACTGACCCTTATGTGACCCCCGGCAGTGTCATTAATAACCTCTCCATCAACACCGTCCGTGACACAGACCACCTCAGGGACAGGAGCAATGGTACGCCATGTTCATGGCGAACACAAATTTTGAATGAGCGACGCTCGAATCGGATGAAGAATGAAACTCATTCCGCCGTTCTCCGTTTGCGCAGGGCCATCCTCATCACTGAACACCACGATGCCTTCGAACAGTGCCTGGTCATCCATTCGTGCCTCCAGCCACAGCGGTTCCCTCACCAGTACAGCACAAAGCACTTCAGGTGAGCATTTTTCTAATTAAAAAAAAAAAATCAGTTAAGCTGTTCTAGACTCATTCTTAAGTGGAGAATAATGGAAAAATAAATGGGATTTTTCAAATTGCACGGGAGTGTGGATCAGATGCTCCTGCAGGCCAACCCCGTTCATTCCCTGTCCGTGAGGTAAAAGTGGTTTGTGTTCCCGTGTCCATGCAGCCAGACCCAGTGAGTCAAAATGGTCTCCCGGCGTTGGTTCGGTATCAAACTCCTCTCTTGCCCATGAGCTGTGGAAGGTCCCCCTGCCTCCCAAGGCGCTGTCCGTGGCGGCCCCCTCCAGACCTCCGCCTGGCCTCACCAGTCAAAAGCCCAGCTCGGTCTCCTCCGGCTGGGACGGCTCGGCCCTGAGGCTGGGTGGGTGGGCCTCCGCTGACTCCCCATTTGCACCTGGTGAGACAAATAGAATTGTGATTGTTTTTTTTTTTTTTTTTTTTTTTTGCTTGAAACTAGTATAAAGCTTCTACTAGTTTTCACATTTTGACCATCGTATGGCTCAAATGGTACATCGCGTTTGCCATCAGGTTCCGGTTGGGGTGACGGCAGCAGCTCAGGGAGAACCCAATGGCTCGTTCTGAAAAACCTCACGCCTCAGGTTTGCACACAAAACAAATCTCGTGTCCGGCGTCCGCTCGCTTTGTGTCATGAACTGTCGGTCCAACGGTCCCGCAGATTGACGGCTCTACGTTGAGGACTCTGTGTATGCAGCATGGCCCTCTGATCACATTCCACCTCAATCTGCCGCATGGTAACGCTGTGGTGTGCTACAGTTCCAAGGATGAGGCTGCCAAGGCGCAGAAGAGCCTGCACATGTAAGGGACATTTGCATTTGTCATTTCTCCACTGCGATATATCACGGCGAACCCTGTTAGGTCACTCTCATCGAGAGACACACACACACACACACACACACTCACTTTGCTTTTGTTGTGCAGGTGCGTTTTGGGGAACACGACTATTTTGGCCAAGTTCGCCGGCGAGGAGGAAATCAGCGGATTCTTTGCACAAGGGCAGTCATTGGCTACTCCCTCCTCGGGCTGGCAGGCCGTTGGCTCGTCTCAGAGCAGAATGGATCAGTCCCACCCATTTCCCAGCCGCGCCGCCGAGCCCAGCCAATGGAACGGCGGCGATCTCCACGGCTCCTCCCTCTGGGGCGGGCCCAGTTATTCCAGTAGCCTGTGGGGGAGCCCCAGCGGCACAGAGGCGGGAAGGATCGGCAGCCCGTCTCCAATCAGCTCCTTCCTCCCGGTGGATCACCTGGCGGGCGCCGGGGACTCCATGTGAGCGGGCGTCGGCAAGGGTCAGTGGCCAATTGTCAATAATCCGAACGAAAGCAAAGGAAGTGACACCACTCGCTTAAAACAAGATGTTCAACAAAACGGGGTCTCCCCTGTGGAAAACAAGTTACGTTTCTCTCTCTGCACATATGTCCACTTTGTTTTAGCCCAAAAACATATCAGTCGGAATACTTGAATCCTGCAGGCCAATTCTATAATGTGAACGGATGGATATTTGCTTCCAGGTAGTGCTCTTTCACACCGAAAAAAAAGCTTCAATCGAGCTCATTATTTTATCATATATATATATATATTTTTTTTTTTTTTGCTGACAATGTTGGAGTAAGAGCTTTTTAAACTTTGCACTGAATGTGTTTTTTTTTTTCCTCAGTATATATTTAATCTGCAATATAGAGGGAGCAGCCAGTTTTTCCAGTGTAGCTGTTTACTCATTGAGGTCCTTACCATGTATGCGTGGCTGTATTGTGTGCGCGTGTGTGTGTGCGTGCGTGTGCGTATTTGCGCGCGCTCCTTTCTTGCCTTGGCACGCCTACCTTACTGCGTTGTCGTGGAGTTCAAGATCAATAGAGAAGTTCAGCAAGAAGAAGAAGAGAAGCTCATTTGGGTATCGTTCAAAAAGAGGGGAAGAAAAAAAAAGGTATTGCACCGATGGTTGTTGGAAACGGAAAGAACGTTGAGCTCTGCAGTGCAAAGGACTGTAGCCGCAGCTGGGACTAGCAAGCCCCAGCCACCCTAATGTAGGGGCCGGGGCCTATCTAGCAAGCCCTCCCTCGAGCCCCCGAGCGGGCAAGGGCGGGAACAGCACTTTCAGAATAGGCTTTCAATATTTTGGAGGTGCCACACTGCAACCTCTTGTTTACAAGACTTAGGAGGCGGAACGTGTGTTCATCCTTCATTTTAAAGAGGAGATGGAGTAAAATAGAAAATGCTCATAAAAAAAAAAATATATATATATGTATAAAAAAATGTGAAAAAAATCTAAAACATTTATAAAAGATTTAAAAAAAAAAAAAAATTACAAAAAAATCACCAAAAAAAAATCTTATCGAGGATGAAGACGATGCTTTGTAACTCTGGGAATTCGGATCAGTGTTTTTTGGCCATGGTGTTGGTTATTTGAATTATTCCTTTTTGTCTGCTAAATAACCAGCAATGGTTCTCAGGAAATTAAGCCAGTTTTTTCCCCCCCTTATAGTTGATTTAAAGAGAAAAAAAAAAGCGACTACTCCTCCTTGTAGGAAAGGAAAATCCAACTTCTAGCACTGAAAACTATGTATAGTATGGTCTGTAAGTTTCTTTTCTCTGCCAAATAACTGCTTTAAGCTGGAGAAGCTCAACACACTGCTTTCGATATGCTGTCTTGTAAGGGTTGGGGGGGGGTCCAAGTGTGTGCGTGAAAGAGAGAAAATGTTTGCGTGTGTGTGTGTGTGTGTCTTCTCTGCTCTACCCCGTGTTAAAATCAACAATGTGGGGGGGGGTGCGCAAATGTATAAACCAAGAGAAAGGCAAAACTGTTTCTATGCATACTGTAGCTTCTCACGGCCTACTGAGTTTTATTTTTCTCCCCCTACTTTCACATCTGACAAGTTTCATTCAGTACGACATTTTAAAACGACACATTTAGCTCTCATTGCCACAAAGTGTTTTTTTTTCTTTTTTGAAAGAAAAAAAAATGGAAAGAAGCGACCTTTTTTTTTTTTTTTTTTTTTTTTTTAAATAACACTGAAGCAAAAGTCGTCCACATTTCATTGCCTTGATCCCAATTGTGTCCACAGATGCAACAAGTCAAGTGGCTCCTACCTGTTTACAAACGGAATATGATTGTATTTGCGTGCGCGTGTGTGTGTGTGGCCCCTCTGCCACTACAGGTTTATATTTGACAAGTATGACACGTCGGCGTTAATTTTTAAGGCGAGCAGTGACTATTTAACAATGAGTATTAGCCACAAATGTGTACATGTGTTTGTGTGAGTGTGTATGTGCGCACGGCAGTATTGAACTGCTCTACCAAATAATTCAATCAAACAAAATATTAGTTTACTTAATTCCATGTGTTGTTTTGCTTAAACTTTTTTGTGGGTCTTGTTCAACACATTTTATCAAGAGGAACATCTGAATTTTTTTTTTTTTTTGTGATTAACTGACGTGTTGAAGTGAGGAGCCTTGGATTTTGCACTTGGTGGATTGTGACGGGCCGCGTGAGTTCCGAGCAAAGCCTTTTGGAAGGAACCATCGGTTGGAAGCTGCAGAGAGCTGGTATTGATGGCGGTGTACTTTGTCGAAAATGTCTTTGGTTCGTGTGTTTCCTGGTTTAGTGACAAGATCAGATGTGTGCGTGGGTGTGTGAATGGAGAAGATGGTGCTCTGCCGGAAGCAGCAAGTTGTCTGTCTCCTCGGTACCTTTCCTGTTCGAACAGTCTGCTGAAACGCTGGCATGGAGTTGCATTCGACCACTTTGTTGTTGTCCAGTGAAATGCGTTCATCTCAAGTTCTCAACGTGTTTTTTTTTTTCGGATGGATGAGTGTCACTCATGTAATCTAAGGAAATTTAAGCAAATTTGTGGACACCCCCACCCCCCACGTGTGTATGAAAGTGGCGGTCCGTCGTACTAGTGCCCAAATAGCAGCCGTCAGTTTTGCAGTCACAAAATGCATTCACATTATATCGATATTGTGGCCATAAATGCGTTCATCTCAAGTTCTCAACGTGTTTTTTTTTTCGGGTTGATGAGTGTCACTAATATAATCTAAGGCAATTTAAGCAAATTTGTCATCCCCCCACGTGTGTATGAAAGTGGCGGTCCGTCGTACTAGTGCCCAAATAGCAGCTGTCAGTTTGAAAAAGGTCGGTTGACCCCCTTTTTGCAGTCACAAAATGCATTCACGTTATATCGATATTGTGGCCATAACAGATTGAAAATCCTTTTTGTGGTAACCGAATCTCCATTTTTTTTTTCCTTTCTGCTGAGATTAAAAGCGAATCAAATATTAGGACGTGGATGCTTTTCATTGGACAGTTGCACACACTGCTCATGTTTATTTTCATGTTGGCGTACTGTAGTGAACAGCTAGTCGTCATGGTAACAGATGGTCAGGGAAGGTTGGGAGGGGGAAAGAAAAAAGTTTGGCCGGTACGTTTTCACTTGCGATTGGCTATCTTCTTCTGGCTTAAACAGCTTGACCTTGGCCGATTCTTGATCGGCTTGCTTGAGCTCTCTCCCACTTGCCATTCTTTCTCACCACTGATCAAGCATCAGTTTGTCCTCACAGCCACGCCGGGTTTCCTCCAGTCATTTCAGCTGCAGACCCAGACGAACTACATCATCAAAGATGATCTTTCAGTTTTGCCATGGCATTCTCTCTCTTCTCTTTCCAGTTCTGCCAGCCTCTTAGTTTTCAGTTTCTCCTGCTTGGCCTTCTGAGACAACAGACTGTCCATGAACTTTTGAATGAGAACCCATTTTTACCACAGACATTCTTTGCCAGGGAAAGGTGCGCCTCCTACAAAATGGCGCCCAAGTATGAGAAACCGAGCTTTGAGGGGCGTCGTTAGCTAGCCGCTCTTTCAGCAGCATGACTCTGGGACAAGCAACTTGCTCAGGTTACTGCTTGGCTACGTCACTTCTTTTCCCATCTTTTGTGTGTGCGCGATTTGTCAAGATGATGCCAAATGGAGGTGGTAGCAGGAAGGAAAAGGAATTGGGGGGGGGGGCGAGATGAGTGCTGTTGTCTGTGCGTGTGTATGTGTGTGTATATAAGAAGCAGGACACCACGCGATGCTTGGTCGAGTTTTGCTGGATGATGGAAGGAAAACCTTTTTCAAAATGAGCGAGAGCCACCTTGAGCACTGTACAATCTCCAAGGCTGCCCAGCATTTTCCCCAAGATGGAGGGAGGGTTGGCAGGGAAGCTGCCAGGTGATACTTTACTACTTTTTACTATTTAAGAAGAATAATGTGACTATGCTCTCCTTTTGACTGAACTCTTATGTGAGCAAACACCCAGTGGCAATTATTCTCGATCAAAAATGCTTGAGACACACAAAAATGACGCATCCCCCCACCCCCTTTTCCAAAAAGAAAACTGTGATTATTTGCTGTCTTTTTTTTTTTTTTTTTTGTCATGGAGTATAAAAATATGTGCAAAAAAAAAATCCAAAAGCTTTAGTCCAACCAGCACAAAGAGGGTGAGTGTCGCTCAGAGAGACTATGCAGTGGAGTGTTGAACCCAAGCTTCCACGTCCAGCTTGAGTTTTTGTGTTCTTGAAAATCCCTTAAAGAGAAAAAGGAGAAAAAAAAGCGTTTGGAAAAAAAAAATAGTTGACGGGATTCCCAATAATATTCCTCAAACATGTTGTGCCATTGTCGAATCGTACTGCTACTACTAATACTAAACTTACTTTTAAATAAAAGTTTACCTGAAAGCGCCGGGCCAGTTGTAGCAGGAAGTGGGTGCGTGGTCAGGTCCATTCGTTTCTTTTTCCAGACTGGCTAAAGTGCAAATTTTACATAACTTTTTTATGGAGATTCTATCAATCCACCATGTCTAGTTGGATCACCTCTTATGCACATTGCTGTGGAAGACTGTTTAATCGATGTGTGTGTGTGTGTGTGTGTGTGTGTGTGTGTGTGTGTGTGTGTGTCTCTAATCATCGAGAGGGCGTCTTCCTCTCCTAGAAATGACAGTAACTTTATTTTCAAACGTCTTCCTCGGGTCATCACAGGATTTTATCTTAACTTTTGGGGAAACTGCACTTTTTGAAGGACAATCTTTATTTGGGTATATTGATACATTAATTAAAAACAAAAAAAAAAGTGAACGAAGTCGCCTGATATGACAAGGTATTAAAACCAACTCCAGTGTGCTCTAATATGAATGTCTCCTGATGCTGTCTGTTTGGTTTCATTTAATATTTTTACTTTTTTTTTTTTTTTGCTTGGTTTGTTCAGTATTTTTTTCTCTTATTTTTCTGAATTTTTAGTGCTCTTAAAAGAATGTGTAATAAGGTGTAGACTTGTAGGTAGTAGGTCTTCTGTTGGCTGTACTCGTATACTGATTACTGTTTGTAACCTCTGGCCCCTTCAGCCAGCATACAAAGCTGTATAACTTGGGTACAACCCTCAATAAAAGACTAACAATCACCCTCATGGCTCCTCTTTCTTTAGACTCCACTGAACAGGGCATGGCGCCAGGATTTTTATATTTTCTTCTCTCCCAGGGCAAGACATTGGCACCAAGTGTTGCACATCGGC